TATATATCCAGACGCCGACTGGTATCGGTGTGACCCCTCCACCAAAGTGAAAAGTTGGGCCGCACAGTTACACCAGGAGACAGGAGACACGCGAGGCGCGCGTGCTGTGAGAGACGAGAGGGAACCAAAAGTTGACCTCATTCAACACCCTGTTTGGCTCCTGGCCCGGACTGATAATGACCTGCCATTGCACAAAAACAGAATTAATGACTCAATCATGGGTCTGCATTCTGTTCAACAGAGGTGTGTAAAGCAACCCACTCCTGAAGAACCGGATTTTTCTAGTGGATTGTCCATTTGTAATTAACCGGTTTTCAAGGAAATGGTTCCATAGGGGAAAACTGCCCACCAAACCTTGTATGCATAGAATCATTAAGTCATCCGACCGACGTTTGAATGAAAATTAGCTTCACCAAATAAGCAATACTGTTCAATTCAAATGAATATTCAGCTTGCTTTACACAAAAACACTAAATAAAATACAGAAAGACTCAATTACAATACCCCCCCAAAAAAAAAACAAAAAAACAAAAACAAAAACAAAACAAAAAACCTAGAGCACTGCTGCTGACTGAAGTTGTCTTCGGGCCTTTCCTAAAAGGGGGATATTATCATGTTCTTTCGCACAGGAGAATTGTAAATATGTAAATGAGCTGATTCATCAATGTCATGCTCACAACTGTGCCGAATCAACATAGGGGGAACTGCTGCTTTCTCTTTCCTCATCCTTACTATCGTCATTTTACCTCTACTTCTTTTGTATGTTTGTCACTCTCTTCTGGACTGCTATTTCCGGGCTGCCTTGATAGTCGAAGCAGACTTTGTGCTGTTGAGGCTAAAGAGGTGAGCAGAGTAAGCCTGATTCCCGTTTTAGATTTCTCCGTTGACAAACACCCCTTGGCGCTCATAATAAAATGAGCTTATGCAGTTAAGTTGTGAGTGCCGTAAAACCTTACAAAAACTAAACTAAGACTCAATTACTATCTCTTACCATAGCCTTAATTTCCCCCGAAAACTATGCGCATTAATTACCGGTGAGAGCCAAGTCAACAAGTCATAGGTCGCTGAACTGTCAATATGCCTCGTGATAATTCACCATCTCTCAGTACATCAGTTTAATTTTACGATGTGAAGAGAATTGAGAAAAACCGAGCCACACCAAACGAGAGTCAGAACTACTGATCTGCTGGTAGTTTGTTGTTTTTTTGTAAAGATGTGTGTGTGTGCGAGTGTGCGTATGTGTGTATGTGCATGTGTGTGTGTGCATGTGTGTGTTTGTGTGTGCGTTTATGTGTGTTTATATGTTTATGTGTGGGTCTGGGAATTGTGTGTGTATGTGTGTTCATTATTACTATTACTATCAACATCAATATCATCATCATCATCATCCGTGGGCTGTCAAAAAGGAAGACACTCACACAGATAAGATACACGGAAGCGCATACGTACACTGATATGTCGAGCACAATCCTAAAGTCCCAAAGTTAAAACGTTGACAGACAGACAGACAGACAGACAGACAGACAGACAGACAGACAGACAGACAGAC